ACGACAACTAATTTAAGAGAATGGAATGAAAAATTGGTGTAAGAGTAAAACTTGCCTGAGAGGGTTACGCTGGATCGCGGAAAAGAACCTAGAGGATTTAGATTTCGCCACTGATGACTTATGTCTAGTGTCACACAAACTTGAAGATCTACAGGTGAAAACTGACAAGTTGACAGAAGAAGCCAGGTAGGGCAGCGAAGACAGGACTTCAAGAGAACAGAGAGAAGACAGAGGTGATGAAGATACCCAACAACAACAGAAAGCTCCAATCACCATCAACGGTAGAAACTTAAAGGAAGTAGCCCCTTTCATCTACCTAGACCTAGGCAAGGTAGCATCGTCTCAACTACAGGTGGCACGGACGAGAACGTCAAAACCACCCAGGATGGGAAAACCAAGACAGGAGTTCATTAATCTGAAACCAGTGTGGAGATCATCTGCACTCAGCATGTTGAACGAGATCCGGATTTTCAACACCAATCCAGTCAAGTCAGTGCTTCTGTATAGCTCAGAGACTTGGCCCGTTACGAAAGGGATTTCCAATAAACTACACATATTCATCAACAACTGCCGCCTACTCTGGCTCGTTACTGAAGCTCAGATGGATTGCCAGAATAGTAAGAATAAGCAACAAGGAATTCTGGCTGGCTGGCTGACTGGCTGACTGGCTGGCTGGCTGGCTGGCTGGCTGGCTGGCTGGCTGGCTGGCTGGCTGGCTGGCTGGCTGGCTGGCTGGCTGGCTGGCTGGCTGGCTGGCTGGCTGGCTGGCTGGCTGGCTGGCTGGCTGGCTGGCTGGCTGGCTGGCTGGCTGGCTGGCTGGCTGGCAACGAACCAACCAAGAACCTATCACTCAACAAATATGCAGTGGAAGGAAGTGGAGATGGATTGGATTGGGCATACATTGAGAAGGCCAGCTGGGGACATCACGCACCAGGTCAGGCCAGAGACTCGAGTGTGGAACCGAGATGGGAAGTGACGAGTTGGGCGTCCCAGGTGAGGGTGACATGGGGGGTATGGTGTGAGGAAGAAATGAGAGGTTGTGGGCTGTCGTGGAGCCAGGTTGAAAAGATTTCAGAGAACGGAGTTCACTGGAGACGTGCTAGTGAAGCCCTATGTTCCATTAGGAACCCAAGGCACAAATAATAATAATAAAACTTGCCCATTGACATGTAAGGAAATGAAGGAATTGAATATGGCAATCAATTCATTTATTTGTGAAACTTCATCAGATCTAATTGATTATTTGCTAATGTGGGTTCAATCTCAGCTAATGGCACTGGCCAGACAGATAACCCTGCAAAAGGAGGGTGAGTACACTGAACAGCAGTTTTCATTTTTCTACGCCATCGATGAGATGCATAGTTGTTGATAGTAAAACACATACGAAGTTTGCAGCAATGGAATTATATACGTATTGAAAGCATTACATTCGAGTGACGAAACCATCAAGCAACTGATATTTTGGTTTGATGTAGAGTTTCAGATGAATAAAGCTGATAGATAAGGTTATAAACCTAGAAGGAATAAAATCCCTGAGGTATGTTATACCTACGGAATCACTACCTACCACGACGAAATGACATACTGACAGAAGCAAAATATGATTATAGGCGAAATCATCTAATGCTGATTCAAGAGCAAATTTCCTAGACCGAATCCCACAACTTCAGGAAACAATGATTTGAACAACTATGGTGATGTAGCTACCCGGAAAACACAAACATTCACCTTCCATCTTACTTAACATCTTGAATATCACATTATTTACTTTCCTTCGATTCAACACAAGGTTTACATCCCACCAATAATAATAACTTATTTACATACTAATGGTGTTGGAGCTTAGCTATTTCATTTACACAACCGTAACATCTCACAAACTACTTGCCTAAGTAACTCATTTACACTCAGTAACAGTCTTTAAGTGTTAATGAAAGCAACAACTTAAGTAGATTTAAGAATTCTAATCAACTTAAATAGTAAGACCATGAGTCATACCAGCTATGTAATGGCTAGTGATACACAGCCTACGAAATAAAATCTAAACAGCTAAAAAAGCGTTCAAACCTATGACCTGCTCTTTTGAAGTCAGATGCCTAGACTGATGAATCTGCTTCAAAAATACATACAATAATGAAAACAAAACAACACATACACACACAGAAACAAGCATACACAGGAAAAAGCATTAAGTTGGTAATACTTCAAAAGTGTATATACTTTGATTCGAAACAATTAACTCAATCTGGTGATGTTTACTATAATAAAGATCGATAGTGGCTAGCAGTGGGATCCATGACGTGCGTTTCTTCCTGTTTGGGATTCGTCAGCTGGATGTACCTACCTTCCAGTGGGAGATGTTGTTCCCAATAAGACTCAGATCCAGGACTGACCGCTTCAAATGCCAGATAGTTATCCACTGGACCAGTGAGTCATGACAACCAATTCTTGTATGACGGGTATAGTTTTTTATGTTGTTTGTATTATGTCGTTGATAAGAGCGAATTGACCGATCTCTGTTGGGATATAGGCTCCTGCACGGATGTCTCGATATTGCTTATTGTTTCAATTTTAAATTAATGATGGATAGTGGCTAGCAGGGAAATCCAGGGCGTGCGTTTCGCATCAGTTGCAGACAGATGCAACCAACTGATGAATCCTAACTAGGACGAAAGGTATGTTCTGGGTTCTACTGCTTGCTACTATTCATCATTACTTTAAAATTGAAACGATAGGTAATATCGAGCCATCTGTGTAGGAGCCCATATATCAATAGAGACCGACCAATCCGGTCGAATCAACGAAACGATAATACAAGCAACAATATAGATATTTACTATAGCATAGAGAATCGGAAGTTGAAAGTACAGAACCGAAAAAAAAACAATATTGATTCGAACATACAATTCGATTGAAAGGAAAAGAATAGAACAAGGATGAGGAGGAGGAGAAGGCAGAAGTGATGAGATGAGAAAGGAAAGGAAAAAGAAAAGATGTATCAATGTCAATTAGAGTCGTAAGGATACAACGGATAATGATAATCTTACCACCTTCAAAATGAGGTCGTATTTTTCAACCGTGAAAAGTTAATTAAAGAAATTATTACCTGATAAATAATAATAATACAAATTGGAATACGTTGCTGTCATTTCAATAACCTTTCCTTCAATCAATGTGCAAAATAATACTCATAAACGTAAGGGGAATTAATCAGAATATCCTCTATGGAATTAGTGAACTTTTTTAAATAAATAAAAAAACTAATCAATTAAAAAGTGGATATAACAGAGAATAAATTTCTAGTAAAATATGGGTGTAGATGTTTTCATTCCAGATTAACACTTCCTAAGAGAAAGAAAATAGACCCATACAATGAGATAATCATCACACAGGCAGAAAAGTGGCTAACAGTTAATCAGAGACGAAGATACACAGTCAGTGATGTGATTTACTAAAGCTATACAACCGTATTCATAAGTATTGGAGGCAAATAAGCATCTATTATCATTTTGAGTGGCTGGGTGAGATAACCATGGTCTAGCAGACTAGTATTGATACTGAGTGATGATTGAAGGTGAAATAAAAACTTGGGCTGAGGCAGGACTCGAACTTTGGTGATTAAAGTGAAATAAGAATCTGGTCAACAATCAGACCTCATAGCTCAGCTGATACAGTACCTGGTCGGTCGCTGGTTCAGATCCTGCTACGGACCAAATTTTCACTTTACCTTCAATCATCACTCAGTATCAGTGTTAGTTTGCCAAACCAAGACTATCTCACTTAGATATTCAAAACCATAATCAATATGATGCTTCCCCTCTCTAATTCAGTTAGGTCTGGATTGAGTGAGAAGTCCTGACTGAGACAGCCAGTATGAGTATGATCAAGTGATGGTAATAGTCTATTATTATTCATTGGGTTCACGTCATTATTTTATTGTCCAAGAGTAGACTGGAAAGTTGTTTCTAAAGAAACAAATAGTTTGAAAATTCAAAACAGTATATCAACAGTTTTGAAGTAGACCTCAAAAATGACACAAACGCAGAAAATTTCGAAGAACTGACCCCCCACCCCATAGATCTTTATGAAATACATTTATCCGGTAAATTCCAAGTTTTCTTCTCCAGCTGACAACTGATAGGTGCATATGTCTAGGACAAGCTGCGGCTTTGGGATAGACACTCAAATGATTAGTTTGATGAAGCTAGCTAGTTATATCGAATGTACAAAGCGCCCTCTATCTAAACATATTTTAGAGTATTATCTTGCTTGAGTATCAAGAGGGGAGTGGGAATCAAACAACAATTCGATACGTGAATATCTGGTTAATTGCTGTCACAGAGCTGCACCAAAACCATCCTTTACGACTATCCACAAAATCAAATGGAGGGTTGGGAAACGAGAATGATTTCACAATCTGTGCACGACAGAGGCTTCGAAAATTTACCATAAGTTGAAACCTGAACACTGCACAAGAAATACATTCAATCTCCTTTTTTACCATGGTCTTACCAAGAATTTATTTATTACGTAATTCTGTTTTATCATTATAAACAACTTTTTATTCTACTCCTGAAAATTACAATAACAATGTGATCCTATTGTTCTATTCAAGGCTTTTAAATACGATTGTACAGCTTTAGTAAATGACACGGGTGAAAAAATTCTTCGTCGCTGAGTTGTCTTCTTTATTACTCAATGGAACTTTCTCGTTATTTAGTTCAGAAGTTTATCGATGCACATAAACTGCAGTAGAAGGAAAGCGTGTAAGATATACGAATGAAACTGGTTGAACCAACTCTAACAGAGGCATTTCGTTCCTGAGTTGTATGTAGAAATGATTAGGAGGCTGGGATTTAAATGACTCAGTGACTAAATGTTAACATTCATTCAGTTTATGGTGAAAAATATTATCGACTCAAGTCTTTGAGGTTAAAGATACTTTTACAAGAACAAAAGAAGAGAAGTAAATAAAACAGGTTTCACAATGATTAACTAACCATTTTCTGCATACTCCATGACTAGATAAACATGACGTTCTGATTCGATCACTTCATACAATCGAACTGAAAGAAGAAAGAGAGAAAAGTGATGATACTCTGTGAGAAGTACTTGAGGAACTCAGCACTGAATTTCAAAAGCACGATCTACTGTATATCATGCACACACATACTTTATGTAACAGAGATGAGGTTACTACTCCTATATAAATATGTGCACATGTTCAGACTTGTTTTTATCGATATCTGAGAGATAGTCAAAGCTCGTGAAAATTTGAGTTAGGAGTCTTACCAGTAGCCAGTATAGCAACATATGCTCGAATAGGTGATAGAACGTAATAACTACTTGATGATGCTACGATATTCACCCCGCTGTTAGTGGAGGTTTATTATACAGTATGGTGTGGGAGACATTGAAAAAGTTATGTCGACACCTAACAATCAAATAATGACAGAAGAACAATTCAAATGTCATTGTCACAATCACATAATGTTTTACCTCGGAAGATATATGCAGAATCGATTTTTTTCAACCACATCTACATTGAGGGTGTGAAAAGGCAGCTGCATTGCATAACTTGTGCAACACTAGTCGATCGAATAGACAGTATAAACCACTCCTCTCTTTTACATGTATATATATATATATATATATGTATATATATATATATATATATATATATATATGTATATATATATATATATATATATATATATATATATATATATTCAATCAACGAAACTTTTTCGCAAGCATGCTATTCACTTAGAGGTATTGTATTCGCATTATGCAAGCGACAATATGTTTGCTGCCAACCAACAATACAAGCGCAGATATGCACACGTATACAAGTGCACATCAATATGACAATCATCCATCTAGAAAGATGTTTTGATCATTCCATACTCAGTTAACTCTAGGAACAGAGGGGATAGATAAAAGCTAAAATACATAAATTCCATCTGCATGTATTACTGCAATATCGAAGATTAATACTGTACTACAAAGTAATGAATAGGAATAACTGAAAACACATATCAATCCAAAAATGAGTAGATAAGTGAAAAGAGTAACACGATGACATAGTACCGTTAACCGTGATTGCTGATTATTCATGTGTGTAACTTGGTATAACACAAGACAATTATGCCAGTTTTTGTGTTGCATATCTTTACTTGGTAAGACTAGATCATTTATAACCTATGCTGTTGAAGTGTGGATCATTAGCATGGGTGACTAACTTCCAGGCAATGGGTTCTGGGTCTGAATCCCACTCGACTTGCTACAACTAGGGCGATCCAGTAGCGCAGTCAGCTAACACACACACATACACACACACACAAAACAGGTGTGGTTCACAGAATGATAAATAAATTTGTATCAATTTGAGTTGCATTACATTTTATCACCCTGTTGAACGACATACTTTCAAATCTCAGAAAAAACACGAATTCCCTTCTGATTGTAAGATATTATGAGCTGATATGAGGTAAGAAACGTGACATTTGGGTAGAGACTTTATCTGACTACCTACAAGTAGTTTGTAATAATGAAAAATAGGAGTCAGAACAACAATAATCAACTTGGTATTTTAGGAAGGTGACAGTGAGCCATCAGCTAAGAGGTGAACCTTAAAAATCCTAATTATAAATATCATACCATTTGTTAACCTCAATTACCTAGTGAAATGTAGACTTATCATTGCTGAGTAGCCCTAAACTACGACGACGTGATGACTAACAACCTTTGAAAGAGTTGAAAAATATATATCATCACCAAAGCAATGGAAAAAAACTTCCAAATTAATGTTAATTAAGTCTGCATTATTAATTGCCGCCGTTATTATCCCAGCCCTGAGTGCCTGCAATTGTTTATAATTATGCACTTAAAAAACTATGAGTAGTAACACAGAACATCGAGATTTGTTAAAATCAACTTGAACAAGTATACAGTCTACAATGAATAACTTGGAGGAAATAAATATTCCTCTGAAGGTGATGAAGTTAGATACTTTACTACTATCATACCCCTTATTTCAAGACTAACTACCCGCAGAGCTGGATATTGTAAATAAAGTGATTGTAAGGCGATAACTTAAGTCTCTTAAAGTTGTAAATATGCACTATTGATGAGCTTCATCAAGCACGAAACTTGGATCAAAAGCTTTAAATATGCAAAAGTAAGCATATTGCACTGCAGTATCGTATCATTCAGCTAAGTGGTCAACAAAGTGAGAATTTCAATGGGTACACTTCAATCAACACTTAAGACTTCATAGCTATACATCATTCCATCATACATTGTAGTTTGTAAAAGTGAATGAATAAACCTTTAAAAAACAAATGATCCTGTCAAATTTCCTATCCCCACGTCTAAACATTTCAAGGAGTAGTAAAGACTAGTGTAAACCAGTAATGTGGCCTAGTGACAAAGACTCAGTTTATACAGTAAAATGTAGGGGTCACAACTAGTGTGTAAAGGTCAGTAATATACTACACATTGGTGTAACTGTTTTTATTATTATTATTATTATTAGTCCCTTGGGTTCCTAGTGGAACATAGGGCTTCAGTAGCACGCCTCCAGTGACCTCTGTTCTCTGAGATCTTTTGAACCTGTAGGTCAAACAAAAAGTATTTGAATTTAAACAGTGATAATTGAAATTCTGCCTAAATGGCTGAATAGAAGACAACTTCAACACGTCAAATAATTGACAGGAGTAGTATTCAATCAGTATATAAAAGGCTTGTCAAAAGAAGAAACTTGTAAATCGTAAGCTTTTATAGTAAAATCATCTTACCAATATTCGGGTGATTCAGCATTTTCATAATGTTCACCTCACGAAAGAGCTGATGCACAAAAAAGAAGCACATGATGAAATACAAAATAAAATAGAAATTTTACAGAAGATTTTCATTAGTTAAAATCTTTTCTCCTGTAATAAAATAGGCAAACAAATTAACTATACAATAAAAGATGACTAGTTCACCAGAAATAAATGAAGCAATATAAGTGGCAACTATGAACAGACAACTAGGAGTCGTCCTAAGTGAAACGTCCTTGCGATTCTCTGTTCTTTAATACAATCGATAAAACTAGATTTGAACTTGACGAACTTGAGGATATTCGTGCAGTAGGCAGTGAGTCACAAGTATTGTATGAGGGCTAATGATAGCACTACCTGGCTTGCCCAAACTACGGTAGGATAAAGCGGTATTCCAACCCACCAGCCATTCGGTTGAAAGTCAACTCCGTAAACCAATGAACTGCAGCTTCATAACAAGTGAATTACATGTTCCAATCAAAACTGACTCCACAAAAATCAATGCAGCAGGATAGTAATGTTATAATAATAATAATAATAATAATAATAATAATTATTATTATTATTATTATTATTATTATTATTATTATTATTAGTCCCTTGGGTTCCTAATGGGACAAAAGGCTTCACTAGCACGTCTCCATTCCACTCTGTTCTCTGAAATCTTTCGTACCTGGTTCCACGACAGCCCACAACCTCCCATTTCTTCCTCACACCATACCCTCCATAGCACCCTCACCTCGGACGCCCAACTCCTCATTTCCCATCTGGGTTCCACTCGAGTCTCTAGCCTGACCTGGTGCGTGATGTCCCCAGTTGGCCTTCTCAATGTATGCCCAATCCAATCCATCTCCACTTCCTTCCACTGCATATTTGTTCAGTGATAGGTTCTTGGTTGGTTCGTTGCCAGCCAGCCAGCCAGCCAGAATTCCTTGTTGCTTATTCTTACTATTCTGGCAATCCATCTGAGCTTCAGTAACGAGCCAGAGTAGGCGGCAGTTGTTGATGAATGTGTGTAGTTTATTGGAAATCCCTTTCGTAACGGGCCAAGTCTCTGAACCATATAGAAGCACTGACTTGACTGGATTGGTGTAGAAAATCCAGATCTTGTTGTTCACGCTGAGTGCAGAAGATCTCCACACTGGTTTCAGGCTAATGAACTCCTGTCTTGGTTTTCCCATCCTGGGTGGTTTTGACGTTCTCGTCCGTGCCACCCGTAGTTGACACAGTGCTGCCTAGTAATGTTATTAGTTTTAACATAATGCCTGTTGAGATGCACTCATTTCTGTATTTTACGCTTTGTCAAGTAATATGACACGATACAACGCATAAAACAAAAGTGAAAAACTTTATATTCGGTAATATTAAACTTTGAGGGTTCCTAACCAATTCAAAAAACACTATGATGCAAAGGGTTATACATATCACTGGTTTACTTTGGTTTATTTTTCAATATTCTTATCCTTTCATCATTTTTTTTATTTGTATAACTCAATGAAAGGAAAAGGAGGTTGTTTTAATATTTCCAAGATCTCCATAGACTAGCTGGGACGAAAGCAATTTGAGTAAACAATTGCTATCAATAACTTGCTCGCTTCAGGTTTTACAGTACTAAATCCATAGTTTCATGGATATGGAATCTGAAGGTCCTGGGTTCGATCTGTAGCAGGGTCATGGGTGCGCAGTGCTGAGGAGTCACAGCTGTCTAGTGCTCCCAGGTTTCCACTATTTTACCAGCTGATCTCAGTCTACGATGAATACCAATCTAGAAAGGTTTAAACTTCAACAGTAGTGAATATGAAACAAAAACGAAAAAACCCCGTACAAGACAAAAACTGACAGAAGACGGTAGACCATGATGAATAATCGATTTTGATCCAAATTAGTTAGGAAATTAGATGCTCTGTGATTATTTTAAAACCAATCGTCAATATCAATAGACGAAAAATGAGATAAAAGAAGCCTATATATTTTAAAATGTCGAATAATATGCATTGTCAACAGACAAACACACACACACACATACATAAGAACAAAAACACAGGACAGAAAGAGGCTACAAATCAATACATAATACCGTCTGCATTTCTAACCAATGATGTATAGTCGTTGACCAGAGAAAGGTAAAAAGATACATTTCTTTGCATATTGATTGCACACATTCATCGATAAACAAAATAACTATTCATCAAAACGTGAATGATTTAATAAATAAGAAAGTGGATCTGAAAGATATACCAGTTATGCTTAGTTGTGTGATATTAACCAGCTGTTAAACAGATTGATATTCAAGTAAAAATGTATTACAGAGAAAGAAATAAAGAATAAACTGACTGAAAGTGTTTATCTGTGAAACAGGCGATTTCTAGTGACCCATTACAAAACCAGTGGTGAACAGTGAATCGTCTAGACCTTATTTAATGTTGATTCAAGTTTTTTCCTGATAAGATCTCTGATTGCAGTACTAGATGTTGTTAGTTCGAGTCTATGAGGAGGAATTATCTCTCTCGAAGCTGTAGATGAATCTTATTAACGACTGTTGAACACAAAACCACGAAATATAGCTCCAAAATTTTCGGGCGACCATTTACAAACACCCATCAGGTAATATTCAATTCTTTGTCCTAGGAGAAAATCTCTGTACATAAACGCCTACCTGATTCCAAAAATTCCATGCGAAGCCAACAACTACAGTCAAGAATGTATACCTTTGAAGCTGATAAAAAGTGTAGCGATGATTGTCAGTCAGTTAAACTTGTAACAAAACTACAATACCGATGTGTGTTATGCATATAACAATTAGTTAACGTACATTTTTCACTTTTGATGATTAGGTTGAGATCCTAAAATCTCAGTAGTAACATATATTCAAATCTCAAGTAAAACTTAAGTTTCATTTTGAGTTTACAAGTATGTGTCTTGCACACTGATATGAGATAAGTGAAGTAAAAGCACTTAAGTATTGTGATATAAGGTACTGAGTCTCTTTTAGGGTTGACTAAGCTTTGAAGTGTATTATATTATTATTATTATTATTTGTGCCTTGGGTTCCTAATGGAACATAAGGCTTCACTAGCACGTCTCCATTCCACTCTGTTCTCTAAAATCTTTTCAACCTGGCTCCATGACAGCCCACAACCTCTCATTTCTTCCTCACACCATAACCTCCATGTCACCCTCACCTGGGACGCCCAACTCGTCACTTCCCATCTGGGTTCCACACTCGAGTCTCTGGCCTGACCTGGTGCGTGATGTCCCCAGTTGGCCTTCTCAGTGTATGCCCAATCCAATCCATCTCCACTTCCTTCCACTGCATATTTGTTCAGTGATAGGTTCTTGGTTGGTTCGTTGCCAGCCAGCCAGAATTCCTTGTTGCTTATTCTTACTATTCTGGCAATCCATCTGAGCTTCAGTAACGAGCCAGAGTAGGCGGCAGTTGTTGATGAATATGTGTAGTTTATTGGAAATCCCTTTCGTAAAGCGGCAAGTCTCTGAGCCATGTAGAAGCACTGACTTGACTGGATTGGTGTTGAAAATCCAGATCTTGTTGTTCACGCTGAGTGCAGAAGATCTCCACAATGGTTTCAGACTAATGAACTCCTGTCTTGGTTTTCCGATCCTGGGTGGTTTTGACGTTCTCGTCCGTGCCGCCTGTGGTTGAGACGATGCTACCTTGCCTAGGTCTAGGTAGATGAAAGAGGCTACTTCCTTTAAGTTTCTACCGTTGATGGTGATTGGAGCTTTCTGTTGTTGTTGGTGGTGTTGTTTGTTGGGTATCTTCATCACCTCTGTCTTCTCTCTGTTCGCTTGAAGTCCTGTCTTCGCTGCCCTACCTGGCCTCTTCTGTCAACTTGTCAGTTTTCACCTGTAGATCTTCAAGTTTGTGTGACACTAGACATAAGTCATCAGTGGCGAAATCTAAATCCTCTAGTTCTTTTCCCCGGTCCAGAGTATCGCCCTCGTCTCGCTTCTCACTGTTTGTTGCATGATCCAGTCGACCACAATCAGGAATATCATGGGTGATAACAGGCAGCCTTGTTTTACTCCTGCCTCCACTTCACTTCGAAAGCATCACTGAGCTTCCCATTGTGAATTACTTGGCCTGTAGCGTTTTCAAATAGTTGTTGAATGAGGTTGATAAAGGTGTATAGAACTTGAAAAACTGTATGTAAGACTGAAAATGCTCCATCTGATACATCACTCAGAGCTAGAGCAGAAAAATAAGTTATTAATTCAAATAATGAAAATAATACGAGAATGGAGAGTAAAACACTGACGGAGAGATATTAACAAACATATAGCAGCCGGTAACAACCGCCAATTGGTCCACACTAACCTCCATCACTTAAGCTCAGATAAGAGAGGGATATCAATACAGAAAGGTAAAAGAATGGAAATAATTACACCAGACGCCACAAAATGGAACTAGAAGGCAATTTAAGCGGGTCGATAAATGAATTAAAAGGTATACTGATGAGGTCAGTAAGGTCAACAGATGGATGCAGAACAAACGGATGCCACATATGTATGAAGGCGCAAAGAATGATTAAATCCCTTCCACTGTGATTAATTTTCAGCCACGTTAGTGAATATACTCCAAAAAACACTAGGGATCCTCAAACGTTGTTGGAATAGCAAACAGAACATCAGCTCTTTACTCAGCAGTCACTTATTTACTGATCTTTCGAGTATGATCGACTCCCTGTTGTTGCTGTGTGATGCACAGTGCCCAGTTACGTTGATATCATCAACAACTTTTGCATCGGAAGTGACTGTCTGTTTCATTACTTATTCGCATAATTCAATATATTCAATAGTCAGTTGATATTCCTTCAGCTGGTGTCTGAAAACATGCACCATCGGACCAAGTGAGTCAATAATATCGAGAGTATCAGCAAAATATAAGTCCAGGCACTTAGTCTACAGTATTGCTACATAAGTCTCTTCACTAGAGTATTTCCAACCACACTAGTCATATATATATATATATATATATATATATATATATATATATATATATATTGC